CGATCTCTTATCTTCTCTGCCACCTTCTCTTTCTCCCCCACAAACCCTACCACTCTCATCCCTTCTTTTTCTCTCCACTTCAAACCCTATTTCGGCCATTTCTCTCTTCACAAGACTTACTCCTCAAACCATAAATCCGACTCCGATTCTGCCTCCCCCTCCGCTTCTCCAGTCCCTTTATTCTCTGGGTCATCATCAAATCCTGACTCTGCAAATGGGTTGGTCTCCGATGTTCCTTCGGGTTGGCAGGAATTGAAATTGGAACCTTTTTCTAGCAGTGAAAGCGCATTTGGAAACGCTAACCCTAATCGTACGGATAGTGGAATTGGGTCTTTTACAGAGAGGTCGTTGGTATGGGAAAATACCAAGAAAGGCGGGTTTAACTCCGGAGTCTCAGTTATGGCACGGACGGTATTACCGGTGACGAAGAGGGTGATGATAAATTTGCGATGGGGGATTAACGGTAATGTAGATTCATGGTCCAAGATGCCATATTTGACGCTGAACAAGATAGGATTGGAGCGGGTTGAGGCGGTGAAGAAGGTGGAGAAGAAGGAGACGAGCGATGGTGAAAATATGGGTGATATGGAGTTGGCGAAGGGAATGTGTTCTTTGTTGAGGAAAGATTTGGAGGCGTTGGAGGAAGAAAATAAGGCCATGAAGCAATGTTTAGAGGAGATAAGAGTAGGACTTCATCCAGGAATTTTGTGAAGAAGAAGGAATCTACGCCGTTGAATGGAAATTCAAGCGAGTTTGAGAAGATGGAGGGGCAACAGAAGTGTTGAAGAGGAGAAGGGTCTGAGAGAATGGAAGAGACCTGTAATTCATACGAGCAGCACTGAAAGTGAGTTGCAGAAAGCTATTAAGGCTTCCTCTTAACTAATGTTTAAAAAGTTTGCAGCTTATGATTTACTTCCTAGCCGTTTCTTGGAGATATATGTACATAACGATGGATCTTCTGCTTCTGAATTGATGATGACCATGTTTTCCTTGTATTCTATTGCAATGATGTTCGAAAGATACGATATAATTTGGTTTTCAAGCATTTCTATATTTACTTTACAAATCTTGGGTAAAGCTCAAGTAAGTTGTTTTTCTGGGAAAATTATAATTTCAATGGCTTTGCATGGCAAGGTGCATTTAGTTGGTCACCTGTCCAAAACTTCTATGCTTCCTTTTTTCTTATAATGTTGGTGAAGAACAGTGTAAATACTGGTTGTAACACGTATTTTGGATTATCTAAACTAGTTTGCCGGATTATGAGGGTAGGAGAGATCATCAACTTCCATCTAGGCAAAGAAGGAAAAGAAAAGAGGGTAGATATTGGGAGTTTGAGAAGGCTTGGATGTAAGAGTTGATTATAAGAAGAATTTAGTGGACTTAGATTAATATGTTGACGGAATTGTAAAGCTTTTGATCTTCATGATATTCCTTAGAACATACTTTTATTCTTAAAAAAAATTATCATTATATATTACTCGTTTTATATGAAAATATACAAAAATACATTACTCGAACTCATAATCTTTTATAAAATGAAAAAAAAAAATATAACAAATATGTAATCAACAAAGTAAAAGATGGAAGGGAAATAATTTTGTTTTGATGATCATCAAGACCAAAATTGTGCCTGCAAATTAATTAACTAAAGTTATTATGAAAACTGTGTAAATCCTTGCAATCAGCAACTTAAAAACCCAATTCTCATCTCTTTTTTCTTTTCTCCTCCTAATTTCTAATAAAGTTAAAGCACAAAAATCCCACATTCTCACATCAACAACATTCCAGAATACATAGAAAACTAAGCTTCAACAAGATTGGAATTGCTCCTGTTGTCTCGAGCAGAGCTTAATTTAATCTGCTCGATGCGTTTGAATGCGATAAGAAGTTTCGAACCCACTAGTACCTAGAGCCAACGACCCTAACAAGGGATTAATATTGCTATTATTGTTAATACTACTGTTATTTTTTTGGCCGAAACCAGTTGTGGCCACCGACCCAGTCGACGTCTCAAACCCACTGTTGCTAAAACTCACAAGCTCGGCCTGCTGATCATAACTCCTAAACATCTCCTGATGCTGATGATGATGTTGATCATTCACCCCTTGCAATTCAAATATTTGCTGCTGCGTCTGCCCACCACCATGACTAGTCTGATCCATCATCGGCATCATCATGTTATGATTCATCAAAGGCGACGATCCGACACCCAGATGGGATTGCGGCCGAAATGCTGCTCCCGGAGGAGCTTGGATAGTAGGAAGCATGGCCGGTAGACCAATGTAATTAGACAAGTCTTTCTTGGCAATCAATAGATTGTTCTGAATTTGTTTAAGCCTGTGTTGGAGAATAGAGATGAGACCGACACAACCGTAGACAGGGTCTCGGAGCCTTGCCTCGGCCTCGTAAAAAAGAGAATTGACGGCATCTTCTCGGTGGGCGGTATTGAGTTCGTTGAGGATCTTGGCGACATTGCTTGCCCCAAATACTTTGTGGACGTAGGCAAATTTCTGAGGCTGATCCGGTGGGAAATATGGCGCAAACACACATTCTTGCGTACATTTTCGTCGTAGAAACTTGCACGCAGCGCATGGCGAGTTGGACGAGGACGATGACATTTTCCTTTTCTTCTCTTCCAAATCTACCACAGTTCCATAACTTTTTATATCATATATTGATGAATGTATAAATTTATTCACAGAAAAAAATCTACAAAAATTTTTCCGAAATAAAAATTATCAGTGCATTAAAAATGCTTGGATGGTTATTGTTAATTTATTAAAAAGAAAAGAAAGAAATAAGATTTTATTATGATAATAATGGAAAGCAAATAAGAAACAGATACGATAAGTTTAATAAGGGAAAAGGAAAGATTCGCGGAAAACAAACAGGAAAGTTGAATGGAAATGAAAAATTTATGATGATAAGGGTAATGATCTGACCAGCAGAAATATCGCCAACCTCCAAACATGGCAGACTTCGTCTCTCAGTGATAGAGAGAGAAGCAGAACAGAAAATAGTTAAAGTCAAATCACTATTAAATGCAATAGAAATTTTGGTCTACGTACAGATCCGCTTTTGATTCCAGAAGAACAGAATGACAATATCTAAAACCATATCCTCACGTATATATACATACATATATATATATATATATGTCTTCTTAGAAGAACTGAAATAAAGAATGTCTTCTTTTTTGTATTGGGATTATAATTAATTCTTATGGAACGTGGAATATTGATTACTATATATATATATTTTTAATGTTTCAGTTGTATTTAGTTATTTGGTGAAATAAGCAGCATTCGTATATCACAATATACATATATATATATGTATGTATATTCAATAACAAGGATGTTGATCTTAGTGAAAGACGAAATAGAGAGATAAGGATTGAAATCTTCAAACAGATGGTATAATATCTTTAGTATATTAAATATAAAATTTAATTTAAAAATTTCTTGAATTTACTTCTCAATTCTTGAGATATCTTATACTTAACAAGAAAGTTCATGAAGCTTTTTATTCAGCTATAACCAAGTAAAAGAAACATATCTGAAAATTTTGGGTAATTCTGAGCATTATCAAACATTTCTTCAATTTAGAATGATCATTATATGTTTGCTCCTTTGGAACAAGGAAAATTGTTGGTCCCATTTCATGAATAAGCTAAATTACTGTGTGGAAATCCTCTTCCCCTACTTCACAAGAAAATAAAAGAAATTTGTAATCATAATGAAAGCAATATTTTTTTCTTAGGTGCCAAACAACAAAATGCACCATAAAAGATACAAAAAGACAACCAAAACTTGAAATTCAATCCTCCTGTATCTACCAAAAAGGTAATATAGAAGTCAAACATTGTAAGATTTCTACCATCCAACTTAAGAAAGAGAAAACATAACTTGAATGACCTTTCCACGATCCTTACTTGGAGATAGACCTGATCACTGTGAAGCACAACTCCAAGACAACCCGTATAGGAATTTAGAAAACACGATTTGATGTACCCATTGTACTCTTCAGATACAAGCACCTGACCTGCATTCCCCATTGAATTCTGATTGAAATGTACAAAGATGCAAAAGGAAATTTCACCTAGAAAAATAACAGAGCCAAAGATTCAACAAGAGACACGAGTTTATTCTAAACTTACATTTTGCCAATTTTTCTTCAATAAGGAAACAAGGAAATTGACACTCATCTGAACATTCTGAAAAATCTGTTTCTCTTCCATAGCACAGTTCCCAACAGCTACTCCCATGCAGAGAACCTTCTTCAGCTGGAACTTCACTGTGGCCTTGATTTCATTGACTTTAGACTCAAGAGATTCTTGGTGAGTAACAAGAGTAGGGAATTTTCCTGTTCTTGAACATAAATAGACAAGTTAACAAACAAAGATGTCAATTCAAATAAGCTCAGAGAGAATGATAGGGAGGTTTATTCATAATATCCAATTTGCAATGCATTCATGAAACTTGGCCTCCCTTCAAGGTGTGCTATTCATGCATCAAATTGCAACCCAACCAAGGGGGCAACAAATTTTTAAATCAACAAAATTGAGAGAAAA